AACCACAGTGGCGGCTGAATGAAGGAACGAACGACTTTTTGTATTTAGATTTTTGCCTATTACAAGTGTATTTTTACAACAGTTCTACTAAATTAAAAGTAAAAAACCAATCAATCATACTAAGCGTAAATAAAAATCCAGGCGCAAAGCGCGTCAAGGTAACGTGCATCGTTGAGAGTCGCTAGGACAGAGGCGGAATTTTTACAGCCTCGGAAGCTCCCATTTACCTCTAGAAAGCGTAAATGTCTCACCAACAAAAATATCGCCGGAAGTTCGCGAATAAATACCGTAGATTTAGTCGTAGATGAGGCGAAATTTAGTTAGCTTGGCTTGTTCTGATTGGTGGTTTTATAACATGACCGATGATAATCGCTTGTGGGGGTCCGTCTATGGTGGGATGCCAGTGTTCTCTTAGCGTTTGTAGAGCACGTTATTGTTTTGATTCAGATTAAATTATTTAAAACTTTTGGCTGATCTTTTATAGTTTTTGTCTCGATTAGTAAAATTTCTTATTTAATTATTGTAGGAAAAACACTAAGGTAGATTTAACAGTTTTTATTAAGCAAATTTTATATTTTGAAATATTAGATTCCATAATTCTTCAATTAGAGACGCGGTTTGAAAATTTAGAATTACTTTCAAATCTCACTGCAGACCCACAATTTTATGACCAAATAATAATACTACAAAAAGTAGCTATAGTATTTTATATTTTTCAATACTTAGGTAGGGGTCGACTTTTTGGTTTTATTTTTATTTTTTGATTAATTTATTTATTTTTAACTTTTTTAAGAACATATTTTTAAGTTTTAAGATTAAAACTAGCCTTTGATGTGATATTTTGTTTGTTTTGTTTTTTAGAGTTTATTTTTTATTTATAATGGTTTAGTAGGGCTATCGGCGATGACCTCCATTTTAAAAAAGGTCAACGCGTAGCAGAATAATACCTCCCGGGTGACGTGGAAATTTATTCGTATTTAGACAAAATTAACCTTATGTAGCCTCACCCTCCTGTACACCCACGAGCCGCCACTGGAAAACCAATGTAAGAAAATGTAGCCTAAAAACCAAAAAGCTGATCTGTCAACAATACCATTAAGATCAAGTCACACTATGATGCCTTACAAGGCTAAAACTCAGTTTAATATTAAGTAATAACTAAGGCTGCGAATTGTATGCCTAAAATTCTCAGCCTTAGTTGCATTTATGCATATTTTTAAAATTTCCCACCTCTAATGCGATAAAACAACCGATTTGATGTGATATTTTGTTTGTTTTGTTTTTTAGAGTTTATTTTTTATTTATAATGGTTTAGTAGGGCTATCGGCGATGACCTCCATTTTAAAAAAGGTCAACGCGTAGCAGAATAATACCTCCCGGGTGACGTGGAAATTTATTCGTATTTAGACAAAATTAACCTTATGTAGCCTCACCCTCCTGTACACCCACGAGCCGCCACTGGAAAACCAATGTAAGAAAATGTAACCTAAAAACCAAAAAGCTGATCTGTCAACAATACCATTAAGATCAAGTCACACTATGATGCCTTACAAGGCTAAAACTCAGTTTAATATTAAGTAATAACTAAGGCTGCGAATTGTATGCCTAAAATTCTCAGCCTTAGTTGCATTTATGCATATTTTTAAAATTTCCCACCTCTAATGCGATAAAACAACCGATAAAGTATAAATTTTAATCAAAAGCCGACATATCCTCTGCTCTTTAAAAATGAATTAGTCAAAAATTACTAATTTAATAGTTATTATTGGCTGCTTTTTCACTTGTACCATGGTATCCCAAAATTTAAAATTCCTATATAAAATTGCCCCCTAAATCCGAAAATACCGTCAAATTTGTTAAATTATGAAAGTAGAGCAGTTTTTGAGATATAGTCAATTCCATATTAAATGGAAAATTGACTATATCTCAAAAACTGTTCACATTGCTATCCACAAATGTGCTACAATGTTAAGTAATAGTGTAACTGATACAGTAGTCACCACCTTTTTGCTTAGCATGGCAGAGGACATGTCCGCTTTTGACTCCATAGTACTTATATATATTTTAGCATATTTCGGCATATGTTTATCAAACATTGACGGACTTTTCGTATAACTGATGGTTTTTATCGTGCCAATTGCATATCCAACATATTTTAATGGTTTCTTATTCTTACTAATAACAATAAAACTGATTTGTTGTAATTTAAATTTATAACTTAATACTGGGCATACTGCATTTTAGCCTTGTAGGGCAGCATAGCTATAGGATTTCTATAAAAGTGTGTTTTTATAAATTTTTATTTAATTTTTTCACAGCGTACTTAAAAACAATTTATATTATACAGTGAGCGCGTTAAACCCCCCCTGTTAACTTTTGAACCAAAAAAGATATCGATGTCGGACAAAATAATTAATTAATTTCCTGCAAATTGGGTTTTCTGGGTACCTTTAATTAAAAACCCTTTCTGTTCCGTGCAAATTTCGCCCCATTTCACCATAAATAAAAATAGCCTCCGATTTTTCTTCTAATGGACGATGTCGAACCATTTTACATTCAAATATTAATTTAAATTGCATGAACAACTAACAATTTAATACTAAAGATATTAATATCTTTAGTATTAAATTGTTAATCTCTTAAATGGTACAGTTAATAGACAAAATTTACGCTACTGGTCAGATGTTACTCCACATTTTTTTGAGAAGGTCACACCCAGTATCCGCAAAAAGTTAATGTATGGGCGGGAAACCACATCGTAGGCCCCATCTTTTTGGAACAAAATTTGACAGGTATTCTGTTTCTTAACATGCTTCAAACCCAAATTCAACCAATGATTGATGAAATAATCAATGCCTATCCTGATGAATTTGACAGAGAAGTCATATTTCAGCAGGATGGAGCGCCACCACATTATATTAGGGATGTTGGACAATGGCTTGATAACAGTTACCCAAATCGGTGGATTGATAGGCGTGGTCCTACCGAATGGCCGGCTCGTTCTCCCGATTTAACGCCGCTTGACTTTTTTATGTGGGGATATTTAAAATTGAAGGTCTACATTACAGAACCGGAAACCATAGATGATCTTAAACAACGGATTGGACGTGAATGTGCTAGTATTACGGAAGAAACTTTTGCTAATGTTAGAAATGAATTTGAAGATAGGCTATTTGTGTGTCAAGCTGTCCAAGGGGAACATTTCGAACATCTAATTTAAATTTTTCTTAATAAATTAAAACCAAAATAAAACGTGTTTTAAAAAATTTTAAACCCTCATAACTAAGCTATGGTTAAACGGATTTTAAAAACAAAAAAAGTGTTATATAGAGAATTAAAATACCTTTCATATGAGGTATCACAAGCACCCCCTTTCCATGGAAACCATGACACTAAGTGACCTTTTAAATACACATTGACAAGTTGTGGCTTTATGACGCTTTAGTCACGGGCTGAAGTTAGCAACAGGTTTTTAGTCAGGGCTGAAGTTAGTTTTAAGTTAGTTGACAGTTGTCAAATGTCATAAAATCGTTAAAATAAATTGCCTTTCTTGTAAAATAATACTAAATGTGAAAATTATTTTATTAACTCAATACAAAAATACAAAAGTATTAAATAGTTTCTTAACGCCAATATTTGAAAAGTTTATATGAACATTGTACCGTAATTTCGCCGGCAGTAAACTAAAACTTAAATTTGGACACGGACTCCACTGTAAAGTGCTCATAAAACATTTTCTTTACTTTTACTGTGAAAAACTGTAAATTTTCAAGAAATACATTTCGATTTATAACCTTTATAATTGTGTTTATAAAATATAAAAATTTGACATTTGACATTTGACAATTGACACACAGATTCCCCTATTGTTTCATAGATGGCGCTCTATACAAATTTTTGATTTAAATCATTTTAAGATAATAATAAGTATTTGTCGTATAGTATGCACCTCGTTTATAAACTTTTCTATACACTCATTAATTTAAGCACTCGCTCGCAAGCTCGCTCGTGCCTAAATTAAATTCGTGTATAAAATGGACTTTATCAAACTTGATACATAAAATACTATTTCTTGACTAAACATTCTGTAAAAAGATTTAACCTGCTATTCAAAATTGCTGGTAAAAACTCCAAATTAGGTAATATGTTTTGTTTAGGATTAGTTTATAATATTAACTAAGCCTAAACACCACATTCATATTATATTCATGCATGATTTAAACGTTTACATATTCGTATATTATAAGATAATAGTTTGAAGATTGAAGTTTAGCACTTTAATGATGTTTAACAGAAATGTACAAAGTTTAATTTTTGTAAACTCAAATAATTAAAGGTAAAAAAATATTTTACAAATAAAATGCAACTGTAAAATATTGATTTTTAAAAATTGTAGTTTAAGTAGGTAGTTAAAGTTTATGCTACAAAATTATCGATTTAAATTTTTATAGAGTCATTTAAATGGTAGTTGATTTTTCATACAAAAATTCTCACATTACATTTAAATGTATATATAATTGTATACAATTTTATTTAAAAAATTACCACTTTAAAATTTAAAACTTTTAAACATAAACTTTTACAGTTGCATTTTATATTTAAAATATTTTTTGTGTAAAAAAATGTAGGTAACTTTTTAAGCTATTTCGGTAGAAAGTTTAAATCACTGAATTAATTTTTACGACTGTTAAGTTATTGTTTTTTATTTAAAAGCATTTATTTCTGCCAAAGTAATTATTTTTTTACTATTTTCAGCAGCAAATACAAATAGTAGTAAACAAAAATTTGCATTCGGTATATTAATAGTATTAATTTAATACTATGTATTATGCTGGCTAGGCAATAAGGAAACAAAATATATTCGACTTTATTTCTTTTTGATGCCAATGCTGCTTATTAAAATTTATAATGAAAAAAATAAAATTGTATCCTTCACTTTCTTATCGAGTTTTAGAAATTATTTTCAATCAAGGCTTTCGATAATAATATTTTGTTCTTACCTATCACCACTACTTCCTTGTGTATAACTTCACTCGTAATTCCGCACTTCATTTTTGGAAAATATCTGCAAAATAAAAAATATATTATTTTTATTATGCTTTAAAAAAGGTATAAATAAATATATAAATACATAACTCATTGTTGTCTGTTTGTAATTATTGATAAAATAAATTAATTAAATTAATAGATAAATAATAGTTTATCAATAAAATACTTTTAAATTTTAATTATTTTTAACTGTAAAAATCATATTATTTATTATTAAAAAATATTTAAATAGATATCTATGACATAATGCACATGTTTTGCAACTGTATTTTTTAGATCTGTTGTAACTTTTTATTTTTTTTATCGTTTTGACAACTGAGACAAAAATTTTGCTTTAATTTATTTCATATAATTCATATAATATTAATAGGGCAAAACAGTAATTATAATTTTACGCTCGATTTTACGTTAGGTGACATTTAAATTTATCTTTTGAAAGGTTATCGTTTGAAAAATTAAAAAAATAAGACTATTTAACGTTTTATTGAAGCAAGTTGGCAATTCTAGTAAGTTAATTATTATTATTAATAAATAATCCTATTTTGTAAAAGTGTTAAAAAGATTGTATTATTATACAACTTTTGTAGTGAAATTATTCAAATATTTCCTATGCTGTAAAAATAATTTAAACCAATCAGGTGAAGTTTTTTTACATCCTAGTATGTGAAAACCCGTTAGGACCAATCGAAAAATTCGATAACTGACAGCTCTGAGTAAAAGTATAAAGTGAGGTTAGATAGCTATCTAACTTAACTTTATACTTTCATAATTTGTTATTAGGGGAAGGTGGGGGAATTCTGCGATTGGTTTAAATTATTTTTACAGCATAGGAAATAGACCAAGAGTGTACGCCATTTAGCTGGTGCGTGCCTTTTTGTGCACCCCTCAATTGTAGGCCTCCGTTAACGCGTCGAACTTTGAGCTCAGCACAAAAAGACTTACTTCTCAGCCATATGACATAAAGAACTATTAATGACAGCAATTTTTTTATAATAAAACTGACGTAACACTATTTTCCTTATTTTAGTTTTACATGTTAAAACGTAAATCATTTAAAAATAAAAAATAAACAATTGTAAATTAAAAAAAATAAAATGATTTAGTTTAGTTTTTTTAACATAAACGGTCGGAAAATATATCTTTTACCTACATATGTAAACTTCAGCTTGCCTTGTAATTTTTAATTTTTATTTTATTTTATCATTTTAATGTGCTTCCAATAAGCATCATGCTTGCGACACGTCGCAGGGGGGTTGTTTTAAAAATTAAAAAACATATTTTTTTCAACTACTATAACTTAAAACTATATATATATATATAGTTTTAAGTTATAAATTATATAATTTTAAGTTATAAATTATAAGAGTTGAAAATTAAACTTTATTTTTGTTATTTTAATGTTTTGAGACTATTTATTTGTATTAAAGAATAGAACAAATTTCTAAAGACGATTAAAAAAGCAAAAGTTAAAATTTTCTATTATTAACAAGCGATGATTTAAAGTAAACACAAATGCTAAACTATTTGTCCGAAAACTTGTTGGTAATTTTTTTATAGGTAACACGGTATAATTCTAGTGCGCCATTTTCAGGACACTGTATATTTTGTCAAAAGGTTAACATAAAAAACTGATTTTATTATAAATGTTATTCTGTAATTAAAAATACCATACAGTTTTGGTAAATACATAATTATTATTATTGCACGATCAACTACTTAAATACACACACAAATATAAACATATATATTTATATGTGTGTATTAGTGATTTTGTTATCTGCTCCGTGTTGTCCGTTTTTGGTTCTTAAAAAAACAGCATGTCTGACGAGGTTTCGGTACTATCTTCAGGTCTTATCTGCTGGGCTGCTGTTGCTGCGAGTTAGACGTAGCAGCAACAGCAGCCTAGCAGATAAGACCTGAAGATGGTAGATGAGATTGTTCTTTTAAGAACCAAAAACGGACAACACGGAGCAGATCCCGAAAAAAACACTAATCCATATAACGCCCGTGGAAACCTAAAGCAGAACATATATATACACACATTAAATTTTATTTACTTAACATGAGATAACTAAAGTATTTTTGGTAAATTTCCTAGTAAAAGGCGTAAAATAAATATATAAAGGATTACTTTGTTAAAAATTATCTTTGATAAGATAATTCTAATTTTAAATATCTGACAATAAGTATATATTTACCAAAATTTTAATCAAAATAATAACACATATGGAACGTCGTTTACATAAATCAGTATTATAATTATAATTTATAATAGTTATTAGGTACAGGGTGATCCCCTATAATGTCGCCCCCTTTAACTTTTTTATTTTAAGTGTCCCAAAAAATTAAAACCTGTTGTTATGTGGGTACTGAAAAATATTTTTTTTCTACTTATAAAGAAAATTGGAAAATTCTTCAGTATACAGAGAAAAACAATTTATTTTTTCAATGGATCACTCTATATATGTATTTATTTTTCGATTCCTTCTAAAATTCTAAGCATATTTCATATAACATACCATATACCTTAATTCAACCGTTTCTCAAATATTTAAATTATTTTTAAGATAAAAGTTGAAATAGTTTGTCTTTCTGTCTGAGTACGCCATTTTTACTTATTTAACAAGACATATTGACATAATGTCACTATAGTAATTTATTTTCAATAAAAATTTTGGTATACTGAGGCTTCTTGATTTCTAACAGTTTAAAAAAACATTTAATAACATTTCGAATGCGAATATTTCAGAAACGGTTGAATTTAGGTAAGTATATGGTTTGTTATATGAATTATGCTCAGAATTTTACAAGGAATCGAAAAATAAATTCATATTTAGGGTGGTCCATTGAAAAAAAATAAACTCTTGTTTTTCCCTGTATATTGATCAATTTTCAATTTTTTTATACGTAGTAATAAGTATTTTTTAGTACCTACATAACCACACTTTTTAATTTGTTGGGACACTTAAAATAAAAAAAGTTTAGTACCTACATAACCACACTTTTAATTTTTTTGGGAGACTTAAAAGAAAAAAAGTTAAAGGGGGGCGACATTATAGGGGATCACCCTGTACCTAAAATTGACAATTGTCAATAAATCTTTCAAAAAAGTTTGCTAGTACATTTGCGCACTATGTTGTTAATATGACGTTTTTCAAACGCATATTAATAAAAAAAATGTCAACTTTTTTGACAGTTGTTGAAAAAAGTCAAAAAATCAATTCTATGATTTCTTATTTAATTTGTTACAATTATTAATAAATAAAGAACCATAAATAAAAAATTATTTTTTTATTTACTTTATTTTAGCTATTGGGGCATTCCACGTTACTCGGTAATTTTTGTCCCGCCCGTCACAATTGAAAATTGTGAGTAAAAACCACAAGTTATAAAATTAATATTTTATAACATTATTTTTATTGTGCTTATAACTTATTAAAAGCATAATAAAACAATATTTTTAAATAAATTTTATAACGTGTAGTTTTTACTCACAATTTTAAATTGTGACGGGCGGGACAAAAATCCCTGAGTAACGTGGAATGACCCTATTGTTTTATGTGATTCAAAGTGTGTTCAATGCTTATTCTACCATTTTTCAAAACTGGGGTATGCGGGAAAACTAAGAGATAAAAAGAAAACGCAATTTTGTTTCAATTCAAAAGCAAATTTGAAAGAAAAACAGTGGCGTACCATATTTTCTGTATAAAATCCCAAGGCAATATCCGAATGTATGCCAATGAGTAACCTAAAAAGTTTTTTTTTTAATTTTACTAGAGCTTTATAGAAAAAAGGCACAGCTATAATTTCGTATCTTTATGTTCAAAAGTTTACGGAAAAAACAAAACAGTAACCATTGATGCGCAGAACAGTAATTTACTTATTTTGAACTCAAAATAATAATAATTAATGTGCAGAATATTAATCACTCCAGTTCCTGACACTACTCATTGATGTCACAAAACTAACTAACTATTGCTGTTGTTGAAGTAACCCGTGATGTTTTATTAAAAATTGTATGATTTTAAATGGTACAATGAAACTGATATTGACATAGTATATTTTTTTATAAAAATGTAACTTGAAAATGAAGATCTGTAGGACATAACTTAACTATATGAAAAAAAATTATTATTTTTAAATTATTAATAATATATTACCTATACCTAGTGTATCTGAGAATAGGCGCACCCCTGTAACTTTTCTATTTATAAAGATAGACACATGAAATTTAGCTTGGTCAATTAGGATATAAAATTCCACTTATAAGAGTATAAAATGAATTTTTTGAACTTCCGGTTTCGCCGGAAATGATATCAACTTTCGATTTTTAAATGGAATGCCCTATATATTGTTACATATTTAGAATCCTGAGAAAATGCTGAGTCGGACGTTACGTCACTCAGGATTCCAAACATGTAAAAATATATAGGGCATTTCATTTAAAAATCGAAAGTTGGTATAATTTCCGGCGAAACCGGAAGTTCAACAAAGTAATTTTGTGCTCTTATACATAAGTAGCATTTTATATCCTAATTAACCATGCTAAATTTAATGTGTCTATTATAAATAAAAAAGTTACAGGGCTGCGCCTATTCTCAGATACACCCGGTATATTAATATATTATATTAATTATATTATATTCATAAAAAAATTCTAAACAATTAATTAATTAATTCTTAATTATTGCTTATTGTTAATCGTAATGTATCAAGTTTTATAAACGCCATTTTAGTAACGAGTTTAATTAGGCACGAGCGAAGCTTGCGAGATAGTGTTTAATAAACACGAGTGTCTAGAGAAGTTTATAAACGATTTGCATAAGTACTATACTTTATCTACGACGAACACAAAACAGAATTTAAAGCCAATTTTATTTGTTAACTGTCACCCGAATTTTTTTTTTTTTTTTTTGCTTTGGACTGTCACCCGAATTTAACCTCACTTTTTCCTAATTTATAATAAAGCTAACTTCAGCCAGTTACTAAAAAGCTTAAAAGCCACTTAAAAGCCAC